TTACATCCCTACTAAAGAATAATAAATCATATTTTGCATTGTGACATTAATTTAATGTCAATAAGTCCGATTTTTCTGCATTCCAATTACTGTATTGCTTCTGGGCATTATGTACTACATCATTTTGTTTGTAATTCCCATCATTTTGGTGATTCTCATGATAGTAATTATGCATTTTGCACTTTTTTTTTTTTTACAAAAGTAAATCTAATGGATCAATTTTTATTTAAATAAAATTACTAAAGATTTTATCTAAATCAAAATTAAGCAGTACAACAAATACTACCATTATCTATAAATATTCTACAAATAAAATATGGATTTTTTTACATTATAGTAATGAGATTTTTTGTTGTTGTTGTTTATTTGGTGGTGAAATGTACATTACTCTCACATAAATAATTTCACATAAAAGTTTCTATTTAAATATACATAATAATTTATTTTAAATTAATTTGACATTTTGTGGTGAAATATGACCCAAACACATTCTTGACAGGTTTCTTGAGTGTTCAACCCTAAAGTCTTGATGACAGGACAAGGCAAACTAGTGATCTTCTAATTGCGTGCAAACAAAAGGAGAGTTTAACCCCTTGCTGAGCAGCCCAGGACAGCCTTTGTCTCACACTAAATATGTGTTTGCCTTTTGTGTCTGAAATACTCCCCTCTCTTCAGACAGCAGTCAAAAGCCCTTGATGAAGAGCAGCTCTCAATGCAGTCCCACCCCATCCCTTTCGGACATCAGAAAGCCAAGAATGAAAGACTGCTGGACATTTAACAAGTAAACAAGGACAAAACAAGGACAGTGAGTAGCCATAAAAGCAAAGAGATGTGTTTCACCCCAAGAGCCCTGTCACTGTGCACCTGCCATTGAGTAGGTAATGATGTCACATGAACTGTAGTGAACATTCACTAAACATGTTTCTTTTGTTCTGTAATGTGCACACACTCTGAAAGGTCACTAAAAATACCAGTAAAAGTTTCAAATCACAATCATCACACCTGCAGAGTCTGTCAAAATTCTTTGTAGAATATGTGTAACAGACAAAAATGCATGTGAAATTTAACATACACTGCTTTTCTAAATAGATTTATCATATTAACCTATGGATTTTTTAAAGCCTGCATTTAAAAAAAATACTTACAAAAAAAAATAATACAATAAAATATTTTTACTGTTAAAGCTTTCATTGTATGTACAGCATACTAAAGTCAAATGTTGCCTTTAAATATGTTGAAATAAGTTACCTGTCAAAAGCAAGCTGAAAAGAGAGAGAGAAAAAAAAAACACTAGCAGCAGGCTTTTTGAAGGATGACCAAAATCAGTCACATTCTTTTATTTTCAGTCTTACAATCATCATAAATCCCTCCTGGAATATATGGTATAGACCCTTAAAATGTACAAAAAAACTGGTCTACATTTTTATAGAAGATTGAGTTAAATTAAATTTGACTAGAATAGGCAACTTTCAGGCCGTCTGCTGGGGATTTCAGAGCTTTTTTTGGTCTTCTTTCAGAGCGATCTGGCCCATTCAATGGTTCTGAATGAGAAACGGATCAGTGCAAACACACACAGTCTCCAGTTCAGACATGACATCATCTCTTTTATGGCTCTCCAGGACACGAATTGTGTGTGTGTGTGTGTGTGTGTGAGCGAGAGAGAGAGAGAGAGAGAGAGAGAGAGAAAGCTTCTTAGCGCCTTTTTTGATAACAAAACCTGTGTGTGTGTGTGTTTCCCTCTATAAATCACATTAAACCAGGGATTTGAAACCTTTACACTGACAACTGAAGTCAAACTAATAATTTGTGGAGTGTCGGAATCTGGCTAAACTAATGAACTAAAGCCTGAAGGAATGCAAGGGAGATTTATGTTTTAAACAAAATGTCTGTGAGACTTGAAATCTTAAATTAAAACAAAAATAATTATTTTAAATAATTATTTATTTTATTTTAGCTAAATGAAGAAATGCTGGATTAAAAAACACTTATACTTCTTAATATTTAAAACAGCTCAGAACTGATAAAAATAAATAAATAAATAATGGATATTATTTATTAAAAGTAGTTCTTGAAAACCCTGGTGATAGAATCAAACCTGGAGAAGCTGCCTAAAATTATTTTCATTTAATTAAGATAAAATGATTACTCATTAGAATGGAATAATAATCCAAATGTCATGTAAAAACTTGATCCAAATATAATATGAACAAAACTTATTAAAACAAATAATAGAAAGAAAGTGAAGTGTTTCTGTTCACGAGTTGTCAAAAAAGTTTTTCAATCCTGAACTTTCCAGTTATGATCTTTTCTAGCACGAGCTTCTGCAGAAACCTAATACCTAGAAAAACATGTTTTATGTAAAACATGTCGGCAAATGACAGTGTGACAAATTTACAGCCTGCGAGGCAGTTAAACACATTCGGCACTCGGCGTTCTGCCTGTCAACAGAGAGCAAGTACGCATCCACCTTTTAACCCGTTAGAACCGCAGCAGTGCGACGAGAACACACACACACACACACACACTCACAAAATAACAATGTTCCTTTCCTTCCTGTCAAAATCACTAAGTTAAGAGCAGCACTGCTCATTAGGGACTGAACCAATGTTCCCTCTAAGCTGCGCCACTTCTGATGCTGCTCCAGCGCAGACCAGAACAAATGCAGACTCAAAAATCCTAAAACAATAGTGTTTCTACAGCCTAATTAAAGATATTACAAATCTTGTAGAAACACATTTGATTTATTCAAGAGACAAGGACGGCATCCTATAACAGTATAAGCAGTTCAAGTTCATAGCGGTACAAAATGAAATTGTTTCCAAACATACGGAAGCCCACAAAGGTCATGCACTATTATATTTCATTTTTGTTTTTCAGATCACAGACTATCATCTCCACTCAACTCAGAAGTTGAAAACAGTTAAGCCTATATACAGTATCACCAATTTATATCTATATCAAATACCAATATCATCCTGCCATAGTTAGCCTATATAAAAATATAGATATAAAAGACACAAACCGAGAGGAAAACTGACATTTCCTAGGTTGTGACATGCTATATGCCAACTAAAATTTCTTTAACAACAATTTCCTAATTATTTCACATGGAGCTTCAATTGTGTCATGCTAGATGAGAAAATTTATCTCATCTAATCATATAAATGTTTCCTAAAATATAGTTAAAAAATAATGTGGTAACTATAGATGAAAATATAGTAATTAGAAATTGTGTGTGCAAATACAGAATGACAGAGAAAGCCTATTTTTTCTTTTTTCTTATATAATATTATATATATTATATAATGTATTTTCCTAGGTTTGTAGTTACTGTAGAGTTCTAGTACAGTGTTTCAGAAGTGTTTCTTCTCAGGTGACTGATGGGTTCGCCCAATAGAAATAGGTTTTCCTCATCATGAACCTCAAATTAGATGAAACATTGGTCTAAACTGAGGACTGGAGAGGAGATCAGAGACAAGATCTGTGTTTTTTAAAAGCCTGGTCATCAACTTGATGTGCCCTGAAGAAACTTTAATATAGAACAGCAAAGAGCCAAAAATAAACCATCTGCCACAAAGACTTCAGAAGCCCTCATTAAGAAGGTGTGCAGATCTGCTACTTCAGAGGATAGTGACCTACATACCTAAAATAGAGAACTAGATTCAGCGGTGGCCCCTCGCTCACTCGCTCTCTCTCTCTTTCTCTGTGCTATGTTGACAACTAAACTGCGATATCCCACCTTACACAAAAAAATGGCCTGGAAACCGAAAGCTAAGCTAAAACTACTCGAGTCCTTTGCCTTTTTGCCCTCCGCCTTTTTTCTTTTTGTGCATTCCCTCTTTTCCATGCCTCTGGCCATGCTTTGAAACAGCACTCTAGAAGAGAAAGCCGCGCGTTAATGCCTGTCCAAACATCTCATTCCTGTGACAACAAGGTCATCTGAGGGGGCAACAGAAAAAGGTGAAGCATGGCTTCTCCTAAAGAAAAAATACATTTTACAGGACTCAGGCTCTGGAAGAACAGGTGAAGTGCCACAGCATCAGACAGACAGGCTGTCTAAAAACCAAATCACGTGAATAATGGAAAACATTAGACTGATAAAATGCTTTTTGACACAATAAATATAGTTGGACTAAGAAATGTCTGCACCAACAAGCCAATTAGACTTAAAAATGCCTCAAATTATAGTTTTGCCTCAGCAACTATTTACTACAAATATGTATTGTATATTACAACACAAGCAGTTATGATCTATTGTTCCTGAATAAATTAACCAACTTGACACTAAACTTTGAGAAATAGTAACTCAAATTGTTCACTTGAGCTGAATATTGCATATTAATCAGCCTCTCAATTAAATCATAGCTTGTAAAGGTTAACAAAAGATCCTCAATACATGATTTAGATACCATATATATTTAAATAAAAATATATTACATTTCTTTAAGGTTAATGCTACTCGCTTAAAAAGTATTCTGGCAAAAAAAAAAAAAAAGAATAAGTTCAGATATTTCCTTAAATACTATATTAAAGCAACACTGATTCAAAACCCGGCAGCCATGAGTGTGTAACAGTGCAAACGAGTCTCTGTACAGTCCTTCCAACAGTTTACGCAAAGTTTCTCACTCTCTGCCAAGTTCAAAGCATGCTGTCGTGTCCCACAACTTCCAAAAGCAATGCCAGAGGATTCACAAACATTCATAAACGTTCTTTATCAGATCGCAGTCCGTATTTGGTTTGCACATATACACACAGCACCGATGCCTCTGGCCGTGACCCTTTAGCCCAGCTGCAATTCAAAAGCACGAAGCTCCCTTTTCACGAAACCTGCAACTCAACGCGAGTGATAAACTGCCCGAGTTGTTTCTCACAGGAAACTGAGTTCTTGACAGTTTAGAGAGGCAGAGAGAAGCCAAACAAAACAACACAAAAAGAACAAGGACTGTACGATCCTTTGTGTCCACACAACTTTAGCAAAAAAAAACAGGCAGAGTACTCACAGAGAACACGAGCGCCTGGCCTTGTGAAGGAAAGAATCCTACTTGCTCTGGTCCATTTTGTGTTTCGTCACCGCCATAAAAATTCCCTTCCTAGCCGGAGCTGCGGAGGCTTGCGAACCAACCCGAGGGCTTCCGGGAAAACAGCCCAGGCACTGGCTGCCTCTCGCTGCCTGTCAGGCTGGGAAACCGGCTTCTGTGTGGGGAGCAGCTGTTCCCCTCCACCTCCTCCTCTCAACCGCAGCACTTCTGTACAACCACACAAAAGCGGACGGAACGCGGCTGCCTCCTCCCAGCAATCGCACAAGCGCAGACGAGCAGGGCTGAAAGGCTGAGGCTGGTGGTCAGAGAGGCAGGTATTTAGTTCGCACCGTTTTCTAGTTTGTGGAGTCGCTGCTTTTTCAAGAGTGGGAGGGGACAAGCCGAAAGCTTCTAGGCGAGGAAACGGCACATAATCCCTAACGGCAGAAACTTCCTACTCGCTGGCAATAAGCAGGACATCCCCCGTCCAACGGAGCAGGAATGCGAGGCCTGCTTTCAAAGAGGCCCAGGTATAAATGGGGCACAAAGTCACTTCAGCATGACCTGCGGGTCAGACATGGCAAGTGCGTGTAAGAGAGCCTGTGTGTGTGTGTGTGTGTGCTTAAGCAGGCATAACCGCTAAACAGACGTGTGTCTAGAGAAAGTACAGCACTGCTGAAACAAGAGAAGAGAGACAATCATTTGAGATTTGTAACTTTTCATTAGTATATTAATATCAACCTTCAAGAGAGTTCTGTATTATAAGAATTTGATTTACTCTTCTTTGATAACATCTAAAAAAAAATTAAAAACAAAAAAATTACTTATTTTACTCATTTACTTTTTTAATACATTCTTTTTGTGAAAGTTTGTCATCCTAATCAATTGGTAAAGCAACTTGCTCCGCCTCTGAAATTATTTTCCTTTTCAGCTGACATCATCAAGCCCTCTTATTTTTTAACTCCGCCCCCAATCACCCATCAGAATAGCATACTACCATACTACTCCTACTATTGCTTACTATCACACAGTGTTTAAATGTTCTTTATCCACAGAAAATGTGCAGCATACAAGACAGAATATTGTATCCCTCAATATTGTATCCCAAAGTGACGGATGCAGAGTGCAAGTAATATCAGTTTTGATTTTAAACTCTTTCTTGACATTATTTTATTAATAGACTGTCAAAAGTCAGGGCATTTTTAACACCAAATTGGATATGCAAACAATCAGAATATTGTACCTGGTGGGGAGTGCACAATGTAAACATGAAACATATGCCATTACCTATATTGTACTGTGGTACAGTTATGGAGGTCCTTCATAATGCAGAGGTCAACTGCTTGCTCTGCCAATAGTTAGAAATGGCACTATAGTAAGCAGTGTTTAATAAACAGCTGTTTTTCTAAATTCTGCTGAGGTGAAATTCAGTGCAGTCCCGTATCGTGATACGCATCGTATCGTGGCCTCTGTATCGTGATACGTATCGTATCGTGACTTTGCTGGTGATACACAGCCCTACTTGGCAGACACTTTTATCCAAAACCAACTTTTATTGCATTTAAGGTACACATTTCAAAAGTGAGTGCATTCCCTGGGTACTGAAACATGACCCTAGTCTTTACTGTCTGAGCTACTGAACACTTACATTGTACCATACCCCTGTTTGAAAAGGGGAATTATGCTTACTGTTTTATTAACTATTTAAAAAAAATGTAGGCTGCATGTAGTATATACCGTGTTGTATTCAGTTTGCTAGCAATTGATTCTGAACACAGCCACAGAAATCTTCCAAAAAACAATCAATTTTCCAGTGGATAAAAGTTCTGCCCTACACTTTTTCCCGTTTCACAACACATTACGAAGTAAGATGGGCTGCCATTTCATGTTAACTATGTAAATAGCAGAACTAGTAAAAATGTAACAGTGGAGGAAATGTGTTCAGTGTTTTTTTGTCACCTTCTCCGGAGGCTGTTAAACTCCAGATATCAGCTGCTGTGCTGGCTGGGTCACTTGAAGAGAGGCGAGTGGAGAATGTGGACAATTCAAATCATGTTTAATGAGGCTGTGGGTCTTTTCAATCACGTCACCATTTCAAGTGCCTGCAGCCAAAAAAAACTGTTAATGTCAGATTAATGCTTATATAGCAAATCAATCAAACTGGCATTTGAACTCATTTTAAACATTTGGAGTAACTTAAAAGAGTGATGTAAATAAAGGGAATTTTAATACCAAATATCGTATTATAAATATTTTAAATGACTTTAAACCTTTACCTATACATGGTCAGCTTGGAGACAATTACATTTTCTTATGGAGGCAAAAAAGGTCTGAATCAACACAATCTAAAGCCAACAAACAAATCAGACTCCTTAAACCACAGCATAATTTTAAATACAAAACCATATGTACCAAAAATGAACATAAAACAGACCTAAATAAACTATATTTAAGGACCAACTCAGATAAGCAACTTGTATATATTTTCAAGTTACACTTGTCTGGACTACAAGACTAGATACATTCATTTCAAACCATTTGTAGAATATTGAGAGCCAGATTTAATTTCTGCTGCATTTGATGGAGGAATAGGAACATGGGTTATTCAGACTGCAGTCTCTAGGGCAGCGGTCTGAAACCCTGATGTAACTCTCTCTAACTGACAGGTGATAACACACAAGTAACAGCTCTGGTCACTGACATGCCATCCAAACACTTCACACGTATTTAAAATAACAATAATAATAATAAAAGACCCAAAGCCAAATGTGAAACTACACAAGTTTATCTATCGAGTTGCAAAAAGAAGCAAAAAAAAACAATGAAAAGCAAAAATCTGCATGTTCATTCAACTAATTCAACCAGAACTAACATTCTAAATGAACTTGAAAGCCTAGCATGGACAAACTTTCTTCCAGCAGATTTTATGTTTAAAAATTGGAAATTGTGACAAAAGATAACCCCTTTATCCTTTGTCGTACACCTTCATACCAGTTTCTACACTAAAATGTCATTCAGTCAAACCAGAAGTTTTGTCAAGATCCCTAGACAAATTTACTATGATTTTTAACTTACAGCTTAAGCAAGATTCAAGCCAAGATTTATTTACAAATTAGGCCATTTGGTAGTGGTCAACCAATGTAAGTTTTTCAATGACCAATGCTCTATATTTAGAGAGCAATGTGCCTGATATAATAATATTTACTCTAGGTAGTACTTAAAAAAATTGAATGCACTGATACCACTTTTTCCAGTACATGCCCGATACTTTTATTTTTGGTACTTGCCGATACCGAGTACCGATACCAATATTTTCATTACATTTGTAAATTTTTTAAATATTGGGTACTGTTTATGTTTTTCTACAGGAGGAAAACGTTTAACGAGAGACTTTGCGCATGCGTTCACATTCTGCTGTTCTGTGGGCACGGATTTGCGGGTCTTGTCTTTTTCGGAGAGTGCAAGTGGCGATTGCAAGTGACATTGTAATTTAGTTTCTTTTTTATTGTCTTCACCACCTGGCTACTGTTGTAAAATGTTGAGAGATTCAAACAAAAAGTAATAAAAAATAGAACAAAATAAAAAATAATACCAGTATCGGTATCGGTGCATCCCTATTTGAAACCAACTCAAGGGGAAACTGCCACTTCTGTTAAGCTGTCAAACAGGCATGGATATCAATGATGCCAATATTCTCAAAATGGACAAATATATCTAAAAGTGTGTCTCTAAATTCTCTAGTGTCATTTGGTAAGGATCGATTGCCATTTGAAAAAGAGAGGGATACAGAGAGAAAGAGAGATTGACGGCACGTCAGAGGTAAGTGAAACTCTGCAACCTGTCCAGGGTTGAAATGCCCTAAGAGCTATTCATCCATCTCATTGCATATTTCCTGTAATCAGAGAATTATGGTGATTGAAAGTGATTGGTCAGGGTCAGCACTAATGCACAATAAAACCAAATGCAGAGCTGGGAAACATGGGGACCGATCAAAAGGCCCCAACCGTGCAATCCCGTAACCAGGACAAAGATAGTGAAGAGAGATGGCCTTCCATCAGCGATGCCGCTCCGACTCCTGAGGCAGAATCACTCATTTGGAGAGCCAATCGGCCTTAGAAAAAAAAGCTTTACGATGAGTCTAATTCATTATCCTATGATGTCACAAGGCTGCTCACTTGTGATTGGTCGCAGAAAAGGCCCATTTGTCGAAATAGACCACTGGGGGGACACGATTGGCTGCCGGCTCCTGGTAACAGTGCGGCCCATGCGGAGACAGAGCCCAGCTTGTCTCTTATTTGTCGACTGATGGGAATCTTGTTCAGCCAGCTGCGTTTCCATGGAAGAGGCACCTTGAGAGGGTCCCGAAACCACCCCGAGCCCCCCTAACTCTCTCAACCTGACTGCCCCCATCCTGACCCATCTCGCTATAACCGCGCACCCCGCTGAGCTGCAGTGTTTGTGATAAAAAATCATGGTCGCTGACACCCAGACGCCAGCCGCTCGGAGAGAGCATCATTAAACGCGAAGGAACGGATGGCTGGCAATTTCACCTCACTTCTCTCTCTCTCACTCTTTTGTGATTTTATTATTTATTTATTTTTGTCTGGAGGTGGCGTGATTTTTTCCCCGAGCTTTAGCACACTAAAGAGGCGACCGTTGATTGATATTCAGTTCAAGAAGGGAAAAAAAATCTCTCGAACAAAAAATATCTCCATTGAATAGCTTTGAACAGAATGTCCTCTCTAGCTGGGTTCTCAGAGAACGGCCTCTGGCTGCCTCAAGGGACCGGGGATATTTTAGCAGCCGGTTACGCTCTGTATCCAGTCCTGGTCCTGAATTTCATCGGACAAGATCATTCTGAATAAAATAATACTGTAACAGAACATACACGGTAAATCAAACACAGTGTGCTGTGCCAACCGGCCAATCACACGGGACTCGACGCAGCAAAAAAGACAATAGGGCGGCCATATTTGTTCAGTTCTCATTTTAACTGCTGATTCTGAGTCAGATCATTCAGCAAATCTTAAGGATTCTACCTAAGCAGAATTTTTAATGACAAAACACCGGATTTACAGAAATGGAGCAAAATAAGACAACTGGGGTTTGCGTTGCACCTATGGCATCTCACAAAAAACAGCATGCTGAGAAAGACTGAGAGTTGATTAAATTCAAATTAAAGATGAAAACCAAGATCAATTGTTTAATTATTAATAAATAGAAGGCAGGAATGATTCCAAAAACTGGAATTGAGTTAGTATTTGTGAACTTCCGGTTCCATTGTCTCAAATTCAGTGAGTTTTTGAATGGATTTTTTATTAAATGCCTTCAATAAGGTCTTTGGTTGACACAAGCTCAAGCTATTTTCACACTTTATGACATAAAATAAATCAGTAATACCCCACTAACAAATGGCTAAATGAGACTACAGAGGCTGTCACAACAAAATTAAAAGTCATCACACCAAACAGGAAAACTATTCTACTTACTAGTCCACTTTTAAAGCCTTGTTGTGTTCACACTCACGCTTTTACAAAGTATTCTAACTCAAGCTTTCTGACTTGTAGATAAAGATAAAAAGATTTGTCAGAGGCTAAGCAGTGGTGACGAAATTGTGTGAACTTGTTTATAGCCTAGCTTATGACAATTGCACTTAGTCTACAAATTTGATAATGCTGCGATGATTTTACCTTGATGAACAAAATGTTTAGGCTAAGTATCATTCATTTTCTTGGTCAAAGAGCTTATTTTCTGTAATAATCTAAAGCCAATGGAAAATCCTATTAAAGGGATGCGATGCGAACTTCCAGTTCCCTGCAGCAGCTAATTGTTTTGTAATTTACTCACTTGTCATGTTGTTCCAAACCCATATGCTGTTATTATTTTCTGTAGAAAATCTATTTTTAAATGATTTTTATGCAGCTCTACAACAACAGTTCATAATGACCAGCTCAAAATAGTACAGAAAACACCACAAAACACAATAAAATAACTCAAAGTCTTATGATATCTCAGTGTGATGAGAAATGCAGATCAGGTTGGTCATCAATGAGATTAAATATTACTGATTTGAGAGCTGCAGCACAGAGGAAGATTTTCAGTGAATAAAGACTTTGTCCGTCTGTTCATCATACAAAACTATAACATGACTTCAGAAAACTTTAATAAATCTGAAATCTAAATATTAAATGAAAAACTTAAACTTAAAAACTCACACTGTGAAAAGTGTGTAATTTTAACTGTAAAATATTAATAGGTTAACAGTAATTTCCTGTACCATAGACAGGGAAAATCTGTAAAAGGGGCTGTTAAAAATGTATTTGTCTTTGAATCATTCATTCAATAGATTCATTCAAAAACACTGATTCATCCAGTAATGAAACAAGTAAATCTTGAGCGAGTCATTGAATCATTCCATTCATAAATTCCATGAGATTTTGTTTAGTTGTCTGTTTTTTCTTCAGAATCCCCAAAAAAATCTACATTTATCCAGAATCGTGCAGCTCTATTTTGCACACAAACAGCTCTTAATCTTACAGTTTTTATGCAGCCGGCTGATTTTTGTTCATGGTATTCAGCAGCAATTAAACGTTTTGCAAAAAGAGACAGAATAAATATGTTTGATATCTAAATGTTTGACTTTGAATCGATAAGGATTGGAATCAATAAGCAGAATTGAAATTGATCAAATTCAAACAATGCCCAACCGTACATGCCATTCAGTAAAATTATGACAAATGGCCTCACATTATTAAAAGAAGCAGTGATTTAGGTACAGATACAGGCCCCTGCATTTTGCGATGTATTTGCTAATGTCTCTGTGGACCCACAGCAGATGCAGAGGGCAGCTGAGCCTTCGATTTTTGACTCGCACGGCCAACCGCGACCCCCGGGCCCGACGTGTCAGGTGTCACCGGGCGTCTAGAGAGTCAGACAATGAAATATCTCCATGGAAACGGGCAGGCTGTTATCAGCGGCGTGTGACAGTCAACAGTTGGGACAAGTCATGTTTAACAGATACACCACCTGACCTTTTGATAACAAACTAATAAAAAAAAAGCCCCCGAAGGCATCAGAAAGCAATGATTCATTGAAGTGAAGAAGAAAGACGAGAGGACAAAAACTCAATTACAAGGTAAGCAGCAGTTCCGGTTGTCTGGACGTGGTTAGATAATGACACATAAGCAGATAAATCCTTTCACAGATTAAGATGGTCCCAGTAAAGCCGCTCTGCAGGAATTTCATATTGAGGAGTAATCCAAGGCTGAATGCACATATTCAGGATCAGGAGGGAACACATGTAATAATTGAGGAATTAGCTATTGAACCCATATTGGTCGACCACTATTATGAATACTGGGGGAATACGGATGCCCTGGATTAATATATTCCTAAAAAGGCAATAAGGAAAACTGCAAAACTTGTAAGGTGGGAAAACATCAATTTATGAATTATTGTATGGTTGTCATTCAGAAAAAAATGAAACAATGTTATTAAGAAACATTATTACATTATATAATGTTTCACATTTTATGAATTAATGTACATTCATATAGTCATGTCTTATTAAACTTAAGCTTTAAACGTTTTTTTAAGTCCACAACTGTGAGGAAGATTTCTCTTAACTTTTCTGTTTTTTTAAATACAAATTTATATAAAATTAAACAAATTCATCCAATTCTGTTACCAGTACAAAAAGGAAAATTCTAAAATATTTAAATAGGCTACGTTTATAAATAACTACAAACCAAAATTTGGCCCCAAACTAACCAGCTTCCTCCGAGTGTCATATTAATCTTTTCCTGATTCTTCAAGTGTCGTCAGAATCCAAACTTGAGATGATAACATTATTTGTGATATATATTCATTTTTGTGAATGTTGATTGACTTCGGTATTTCAGTTGTCAGTTAGGATGTTTAGTTTGAGCTGAAGTAAAGAAACGAAACAAGTCACTCATTACCTTCCTAAAAATCTTCATGTCAGGGCAGAAATGTCCCTCATTTGGCCTAAGTATTATCCAGAAAAGACAAATGACCGCTTTTTGTTGCAAGAAAATAACAAATGTCGTTAAAATTAGAGAATGTAAGACTGTTGCGAATTCAGCGGTGTCAAATCACTACACGCGGATTATTACAGTTTCGCGCCAAACTGACCTCATGCGCAACGTCTATCACTTAAATCTATACAAATCTCACACAATATTTAATGTATTTTTTATTGTTATTGATTGTAGTTTTTACCTGAATAAAGCATTGTCAAATACTAATTTTAAAAAAATGAATGCAACTTGATCTTAATAACACATTTAGTCTTACCTTCAGTTAATGCACACTTACAGTAATGAGGTTTTTAGGCTGGATCTGGGTAATAGATTACTGTGTGCAGTTAATCCACACAGAAGAAATTGTATTTACTGCCTTCAGTCATTCCATTCATTCCTCTCTGTTTAACAAACAAGTCTTTGGTTAATCTTGTGATAAAGTGACTGCTCTGCATCTAGCCAACACCTTATTTCTCTCTAAAGTGGGTCATTGGGTGCACAGTTCTGGCAGAAATCTAATACAATAAAACTGTTCCTAGAAAGCCTATGCCTGCTTGCAGTTTTTAAAGATGGCTTCTTAGAATTGCTCAAATGTATTGCACCATGATGACCAGAAGACCTACGGAAAGATAAAAACGGCATCAAACAGGAATTTATAGCAGTGCAATAAGTGTGGGTGTGGTCAAACGTGAGGAAGGCGTGGCCACGGTCATACACCCCTCCCCCAAGTCACTCACTTGTGGAGCAGTGCATTAAATCAGAGAGAATCATGCATTTACAGTGGGTTTTGGTTTGTTTATTTGTGTCAGCTTTGTTTAATAGCCTTTAAAGTCATATGTGCTGAACAAGCTGCTCTGATCAAAAAAAATAAAATAATAAATCACACTTTTTGACACAAATAAGGGTGTATGTACAATGGTAATGCTGAGTGCGTCCATTCAGGAATTTTCCACCAGTGTGAATGCTAAACTTTCAGTTCTAGTTGATGCTTGGCATCAAATCCCCCTTGAAGCTAGCAATGCAACAATGAAAGTTCACTCGGCACATTGTACTATGAATGCACAGCGATGGACTGTGAAAGACAGATTCAATATAGTACTGTGTTCTTATCAGTATTCTTTGGGAAAGCAGTAGTGTGTGTGCCTTTTTACTCAATACCTGGCTTTTTCTGTATCTACGAAACTTCTTATGGAAAACCAAACTCAGGAAGAATCTAAAAAGGATTCAGATGCAGTCAAATCTATCCAAGTCCATGGGGAAAACATACTCCGTTCTCTTTGAGATACCCAAAGTAGCACAGCACAGTTTCATTCAATGCGAAGTTCAATAAAGATTAGGAGGAACATTTAAAAAAATATGTATCTGGCCTAAAAGAGCCATAAATAAAAACTTTATTCTCTCAATGTATTAACAGCCACAGTATGTCCCATGGCTGCCAACCACAGCACTTAAAACTTGTGTTAAAGTCCCAGTCGTCAGGTCCGCAGACCCATCCGAGAGCCTCCAGCTTTTTGACTCACCGTCCTTAGAAAAAACAAAACAATGCAGTAACACTGTAACTGAGGGCGGCGCGGCAGGTTGACCCGCTTCTCATGTGAAAAGGGAAGATGAGGGAAAATAAAACAAAACATTGAAATGAATCCTCAACCTCGTTTCACAAACCTAAAGCTGCATGCGCCAATGTCTAAAGCACCAAACATGATACCATTCTTCGCTTTGAAGGGATAGTTCACTTGAAAATGAAAATTCAGCCTCATTTCTTTACCCTCAAGTATTTTAGAGTCCATATAACTTTCTTCTTTCCAACCACAGCTGTCCCTGGTCCCAGCAGCTTGAACATTCTGCTAGACATCTCCTTTTCATATGGGTTTGGAACAACATGAAGTAAACAAATGATGTCTAAACTTTTATTTTTGAGTGAACTATCCGTCTAATGCTTCTTCGTCTCTGCTCAGTTTCACGCCATTCTTACTGTTGCATTAGCTTTAAAATATAACAGAATCCTCAAAATAATATTAATAATACCGATAAGGATAAGGTAAAATCTCTAGCAGCAAAAGAGAAAGGAAAGGTTAGTAGGTTTGGGAAAGCCCTGCTTTAAGGAAGGCATGTGTTAGTTGAGGGGAGATGAAGTCTGCGCAGCTCATCTGCCGTCTGCAGGGGTTCGACTCAGGGTGAGTGACGTCATGACCCGGCCGTAACGCTCGCACAGCTCCAGCGTGGAGTATGAAGGTAGTTTGGGAGGGTCATGAAAGCTTTTGATCTCGGTTGAGCAGTCGAGCAGCTTGGGCAGGAAGTCGGTCAGCTTCTCCTGGAGATTAGCTGGAGAAGAAAAAGACAATTTTGAGATGGAACAATTATCTATTAATTAGAAAGCGGTTGACAAAGAAGGTGGAAGTCATTTGCAAGAGTAGTGCAGCACCCGGAAAGTTCAGAGAATACACTCACTCACAAAAACATGATGTAGTCTCTTAGAAAATATTTTCAATGACAAAGAAAATAGTTCAAAATAAAGCCACATCAGAACCGCTGCAACACTGAACAGTATTTCATTCCTGAATAAATCCGTAAAGGATTTGTTTGAGTGATTCAATGATTTATTCATAAAAACAGTGGCTGCATCCGAAATGGCATACTCTCTCAGTAGGTACTTCTTTTGAATAAGTAATTTCTTTAAAAGAAAGTGCTATATAGTATGAATGCACTACATTCCTCATGTTGTCAATGTCATGTGACCTACTAGTCAGTTTCTGCTTCTCTGCCATTCACAAAATCCTCTCCCGTGGCCTCACGGGATAGTAAAGTGTCCATTGAATGTGCACTATTGAATCTCGGTGGAAGAGGTAAGTAATCTGGGTAGGTGGGTTGCCTACTCTTCTATGAATACTGTGAATTCTGGCATACTTCTCTTTCACATTCTGTTTTTTTGCCTACTATATAGTAAGGAAGTATGCGATTTCAGATGCAGCCAGTTACTTGCTTTAGGTACATTCACGTCATATCATAATTACCGTGATTACGAGATACCAACTTGTAAAATGCGTACACGTCCTCATAGAACTCGTAATTACAACTTGAGAACTGGGAATTTTCTGAGATCTACAACTTGTACCACCTGACCATGTCAGATTCATTAGGCGCCATGTTTAGGCATTGATAGTGCCATAGTTCCGAGTCCAAGGATGTGAACAGCTCCAAGTAGAACGTCATATGTTGTCATCTTGAAATTATAGTAATTATGACATGGCATAAATGCAGAATTTGTTTCTTAATGAATCTGCTGTTTTGAATGAATTGTTTGAATGAATTATTCAATGACTTACTCATTAATACTTGCCACCACCTACTGTCAATTTTAGTTTCACATTTAAAGAATTTCATTTTTAAAATCATTACATTTTATATAAAAAAAAAAAAGTAAAACTTTTTTAAAACAATCTTATAGTATTATTTATGCAATTGCAAGTGCAGTGTAAATGCATTTATCCCACATTTGAGGTGCATTAAAGTCTGTGCAAATAAATCTAAATGCCACTTCAGATGCAATTTCCGTGTCAAATGTGGCTTATTTCGATACTGGTTTAATTTGATTGGTAACAGCCCTATAGTCTCTTATTACTCTAATTGTATTTACTGATTAAATATAAGAATTTGACATACAGTAATAGATGACACATACATATAAGGTTAGAAAAATAATTGAAACTCACATTGAACACGATCATCCAAAAAACTTTCAGAATTGTTATTTTTGTACTAAGCTTTAATACTGAATTTGATTTCTAAATCGAGCTGATTGTGACCCCGTGAATAAAATAAAAATTCCCACCCTTAAGACTTACGCTCCATTTCCTGGCCCAGGTATGAACACCATCGGTTCCTCATGTCTTCGACAGCCACCGTGTCTTTCTCCTCCATCTCATCCACCAGCAGCAGTGGAATACACGCCACCACCAGCTCGTTCATGATGCTCAGACCAGTGTTCACTTCAGTCTCCTCGCCTGTCTCAAAGAGGGCAGCCGCGTGTTCATTCACCTTCTGCGAGACACACAAAAAAAAAGCCCACAAATATCAATACATAGAAACATCCTCCACATCCGAGAACGTTTTTTATTGACGCAAAAAGCTGATGTTCTTTGCTATGCAATTAAACACTCTCAAACTTTGAATGCGGCAGGTAAACTCTCTAACCCCTTTTGCCACTCAACTGGAATGAGCAACTAGCTAGAATGCGAAAAAGAAAAAAACATTGCAGCACATTAGCTATGTCAATGTTAGCAGTATTTTCAATTAAAGTGAGCAGAGGGTAAACAGCACAGCTTGAGATGAAGTCAAGTCCTCTGCAGCGCTCGCAAAAGGTGAAACAAGGACAACGACGTGCTTCCCGCTAATGTGTTTACGCACTGAGCCCAGTACGCTTCCTATTCCAGGACTGATGATTATATTATGAGCACAGTGGCCATGTGGGGGTCACCGGGTACATAGATGGGGAGAACGGCAGTGAATTGTAAAGTCAAAGCAAATGTTTATTACAGTTGATTTCCAACAGCAACAACTAGAAGCTTCAACTTTTAAATCTAAGTGAATCCAAATGCCATAAAAGTATGAAAAATGCTCTTCCCCCCCCCAAGCGAAACTTTGACAGGAAATGAAAAAGGCATTTTGGACTTGACAGATAAAATGTTTATTCAAACTGTATTTGCAAAACCACATATATGCAAACTATTGCCTTTAATGCACTCTGTACTGAAATACTAACCAGATTTGTTCCAGTCACTGGTGTTAGAAACAATGTTTACAGGAAAGCGTGTGCATTGGCACAAATAATACTGATCTGAGAGCTGTTAGGAGCACAGTTTGAGCTGGTCGTAGATCCGGGTTAAGAGGAGGTGGTTGATTTACTTACTAGCAGGCACTCTCTGCGGTAATGTGCGATCAGCTCCTCATTGTGGCCTCTGTACGGCCCTTTTGCCAGGAGCTCTTTGTTGTATTGATAGGCGTAGATCAGGTACATCAATGATTCCACGTAACTGCAATAAAATAAATGAAAAGCATATTAATATGGGTTTTTAATTTATATATATATATATATATGTGTGTGTATATATATGCAGTCCTAATAAAGCATAAGGACATTAGTAAAAGGCTACAAGATAAATGTTTCTTGACTGTGGCAACTTTTAGTTTTTAGTTCTGTTTTGAGTTGATAAAGCACAATATGCTGCCATCTAGTGGTGATATCACAGAAAAGGATTCTGGTAAGGGCTGTTTCCTCCATTTCATCTGTTTCGATCGACAGAATGTCCATCTTAAATTAAAAGAAAATTCAAGAATTAAAAGACAAAAGCTTCACCTCTTCTTTAAGAATAATTCCAGGCCGATCAATAGAAACACTGTCGTGTCACGGAATTTCCTGTAATCCTGATGCCACACCTGTGCCAGAAGAAGTAGCATAAGATCATTTTTAAATGACAAAGTACAATTAAAAATAAAGTAGTGAGAACATGCAAACTGCTTCCTTATCCACAACACTGCATGATTTCACCAACCCTGTTGTACCGCATTTTAGGAAATCTTGGTCATTGCTTTAGTTTTTGGGTGCTGAAAGAAATACAATCTCCTGCAAAAGGTGGCAATACTGATAAGGTTTCTGTCGGCAAACTGCATGAGCAGAGTTCTCTCCACAATCTTTTTGGGCACCTGGTTGTGAATGAAGTAAACAATGACGTGATGCAATCGGTAGTCCCTCTCGGGGGGCGTGTCCTCCTGAGCGAACCTCAGTAAACGAGTGTACTCTACTTTCATCGCCTGTTAAGAGATAGAAAGAAGTCGAGAGACAGTTGGAAAGAAATAAAAAGAGTTAAAGATATGCAGAGATGGATGTGTTTATTTAGAAATGCACATGAGCAAGAAAATAATTGAATCTTTCCATCTACACAAGAAGATACAAAAAAGTAATGCCTGATTCGGTGCATGTGGTTGTAATGTATGTGACTCAAACTTCTTTAGTTGTAGAAATAGCCTGTGTGCAGAGTGAAAATACACAGCTGGACAACAAGTGAAGGCACAAATCAGAGGCCTATTGAGATCTGCCAATGAAACAATTAAAGGGGTCATATGATGCTTAAGAGGAAAATGTCTGCGGAACAAAAGAAGGCTTACGATAAGGCAATAAGTAGGACCCATGTACATAACGGATCAGCTTTCCAGCACTGGAGAGAACTCAAGGAGCCGAGGTCTGCGATCGGACGCCGAGGTTGCTTTGTTTCTTCTCGATAGGTGAGTAACATTGGTTTTGCTTTGTTTCACAGAAAAAAAATATATGCTGGCTTTTGCTTGAATATGTTTGTGTGTCATAATCGTTGCCTGGGTTGCGTTCGTATGTGTGGGGCGGAGCTATCAAAATAGGGGTGACACCCTTTTGGGGTAGGGGCGTGTTTGTTTTGGTGATTTGAAATATCAACATTGGCTACCAGAAATCACTTAACCCACCTTTAGTTAACATGACTGTAAAGTGCCACAATTAGCCGAAAGGCTATTTTTTATATGTAGACCCTTGATAAAATCTTAAAAAGTCACACTCTGTCCACAATTTTCACTTACCACTTGCTGTCTTAAATGGAGTTGTCTTTAAAGTTTTAATTAGCACTCAACTTTGTTTGCTATGTTGTGTGAAGTACACAATACTGCATAGCCAAAGATACCCAAACCAATGCAAGTTTAAAAAAAAAAACTTTTATAACACACAGCAGCAATTACATTCAGCTGACAGCAGATGGTGACAAAGTAAACCAATACTAAAAAACTACTGCGGTACCTCAAGATCGTCATTTTTGAACGGTTTCAATACCTGATCTGAACAGCAAAGTGGGAATTATATATATATAAAACATTACATACAAATATTTAATTTAATTACCAACACATACAAATTATTTTACAAATTAATATTTAGTTTTTTCACTTTAAACAGAACTGAATGCCTATCACCTACAATAAATAAATAAATATGAATAACTGACATTGAATTTTATATTGACAGCACTAATTTCATTTAATCACTATTGATACCAAAGAACTGGAGGCTGCTATCGATCCAATCTTAGGTGTCAGCAAAACCTACACACAGTAGATAATGAATAATTATAATAAATAAAGAACCCTATCAGCATAATAAAAAAGGATGCAGAGGGTTTTTCCATAGCCTGCAGTGTAAAAAGTGAGCTCACAGAGATAATGAGATGCTCAGGGAGGGGGTGTGGTCAAAGAGCTAATGAGATGCACAGGGGGTGTGGCATGCAGCAGGTCATGTACCTTGAAGAACGCTGCTTCAGGCCCACACTTGTCATAAACACTCCTGGATTTGCCAATGGCCATTATGACACCCTGCATGTTTGGGGTCATCATCGCCTGCCCAAGGAGGGAAGGATATTACTATACCAGCCACGCCTCCAAAACTCTCATTGGCCAGTCCGCATGCCAATCACACCACAGTTCAGCCACCACCGAACGAACTCAAGCCAACCCATTGAAGTAAACGAATTAGCTTAGAACAGAAAAGCTAATTCGACGTCAAGCATTGAAGATGATTAAACATTCAAAACAGGATTGTCATGCAGGTTAATGTGTCTTCTGCTTCTTTAAATAAGTAATGAACACCATAGTTAGCTGTGTAGACGGTAAATTAAAATGTGAAAATAAATAACACAATGATCTGAAGCCTGCGCTACATGCTTCATGAAGGAAAAGAAAGAAAAGACAGGCAAAACAGGACATTTCCTCTTTTGTAACGTTTTACCGGGGGCAGCGTTAGTAGTTTGGGAGTCCACTGGGAGTAACTTGCATATAATGTTAATCTGAAATGGGTTTGGCATGTCAGAGCAGGTTGTGAAAAGGATGCTGGGAGTTTTAGGGCTGCACGCTCATGACCGAACTCTTTTTATTGGGACTCTACCTCATCATCATAACCTCCCTCCTTCGACTGAATGACAAAGGTTCCTACATTAGGAATGGCCACCTCAACCACCCGCTGAGGTGCGGGCGGAGAGGAGGCAGTGTCATCCTGTTCAGGGTCAAGGGGAGGACAGGGGTCAGAGGTCACCTCGCTGTCGGGATGTGATGACTGAGACTAAGAGAGACAGAAAGAGAGAAAAAAAAAAGCTCTCCGAAAGAGAAAATGGGCCAGAAGTACTGAGAGAGCATCTAATCCAGATCTAATCTTTTGTGTTTCTTATTTATTTATTATTTTTACCACCATTATTAATCTCAATGAGATCATGGATACAAGCTGTCCTGGGTTTTTTTTATGAACCAGATTTGGTACTTTAAAGCGAAAGTGTGTTAAGTGTTATCTGCCACTAGCATCACCAATTTCAATTGGGATAATGTTTCTGATTGGCTGAACACACAAATAGCTCCACCCCAAACCTTTTGGTTTTTTCAGGGAAATCAAACTATTGCTACTCTCATTTTGACTTTTCTGAAATGAGACAAGCTCGATGACTGATGACAAATGCAACCTCCGAGACAGCTTATGAATGAATGAAACTATGTGGGGAGTAAAATGTCTATGTGTTCTTTTAATTAATATACATTTATTATAATTATTGATGATGAACTACAAATGAATTGCCGAACACAACACACAAAATTATTTGACAAATTACTATTTTCTCTACTTAAAACTGAACATTTCACCTAAAGAAAAACAATTAATTAAAAATATTTTAATTATAGTTTTAAATAATATTTTGATGAATTACAAATTAATTGTCAAACATTTTTACAACTTACTATTTTGCTTTCCTTAAAAAGAACTATTACTATTAAATAGTTAAACACTATTAAATATATTTAATTACAATTTTAATGAACATATTTTATTATAATTACCGATTAATTCCAAATGAGTTGCAAAACTTTGTTTTACAAATTACTATTTTGTTTTCTCTCCTTAAACATAATTAAATGTCACCTACAAGAATATAAATATTTACATTTAATTATTGATGAATTACAAATGAATTGCTGAACACAATACACAAATAATTTGAAAAATTACAATTTCTTTTTCTCCTTAAAAACTGAATGTATATGACCTACAAAAATATATTACAAATTATTTACATTGAATTATATATACTGACATTTCAACAGTATCAATACTGAAATATTGGAGGCTGGTGTCAATCCAATCTTAATCGTCAGCAAAACCCACAGAACCTCATCAGCTAAAGCTACATACACTTCTCTATCTACAGTAAATAATGAGTAATATAACGAATGAAGAACCTTATTTGCATAATAAGAAAATGACTGCATAATTATTTTTTAAAAATTGCACATTATTCTAATGGATGAAGCAAAGCACAAATGCAACACAACATGGATAAAGAGCTTTTTTCTTTCTTTTTTTGTTATTTGAGTGATTAGAACCAAATACCCAAAGTCCAGTGTGTTTATAAGACAGATGGAAAAAGCATGAACAGTATGAGATGAAAACTAACACAAATTTCACATCCTACAAAAGAAATACACAATTTAAACCTACTGCCATTTCTGCATTTGTAGACATGAATGTTTGCCCTACATCCAACTACAGAACAGCAGAACTTTCTAAACGCACCCTTTAAAGAGTGTTTTGGTCTCCAGAACTGTCTGAAGGACTCAGACCTTGTACATCATGTGTTTATGTATGTCTTACTGTGTTGAGCAGGGCTTCTGGACTCTTCTCATCATGCTCAGCTGCGGCTTTGCTGATGGCTCTCTCCGTGTCCTCCTGCAGGTGTTTGGAGTCTCCGGTGGGCGACTGCTGCTCCATGTACTCTGGGTCATGCTGAGGGGCAGCTGAGAGAGCAGAGAATGAGCTCAGGACAGTTGTTTCAGATGGTATGGCCACAGATTCAGACATGTGAAAGGCTCACCTGTGTTATCTGGAGGGCAGGGTTCAGTGCTCATGGGCTGGGCGGCCACACTGGCGGCGGCCAGAGCCAGTTTCTCCTGCTGGAGTTTGCGTGCCTGTAGAGCGTCCCACTCCTCCATCTCCCTCTCAAAGAGCTTGTTATCTGCCTCTACATACTCCTTCAGATCAGGAGGGAGCTTGTCCAAGCCGCTGAGCATCTGCCCTGTCTCTTTATCAAACTCCTCTGAGATACACAGAAGCATGGAGTCAGCATTTCTCACACATGGAGTTAAATGAGAACATATCTTACCTGCTTTTTTTTTTTTATTAAGCCACATATGATTTTGACAGACAGTTTGAAACCAATTCCTACACCTTAAAAAACGCTTTAAAAAAAATGCTTCTTTGAAAACACCCTCAACGGAACAAATTGTACCCAAAATACAAATAAATAAACTATTGAAGACTTGGAGTGTCACTTAAAAATAAGGAATCAATTGATTAATTAAGAAGTAAAAATGTAAATAAATCTTATTTTAAATCATATTTGTAACAATAAAAGAATATATTAATAAAATATTTTGTGCTTTAAATTGCATTTTTAATATTTAATTTTTAAATTAATAAATTGATTAATTAAATACACTATTTTAGACATTTATTTTTGCAATTTGAAAAGTAATTTATTTACATTTTAATTTTTTTTATTAATAAATTGATTACCAATTCCATTTTATCTTTGAATAGAAAGTTGGAAGCCTTTAGATTTCACTACTCGGCTCATTAGCTGTGTTGATAATTCATAAGACACTACTTAATTAATACATTTGCATATGAAGATTAGGTTACCTTCAATAAGGAAGGGTTTTTTATCATCAATGTACATGAGGCAATATGCGCTGGCATTGCGATATCCACCGAACGAGTCTCGCACAAGCTCCTCCCAGGATGACTTTGTCACCGAAATGTCATTGTATTTCATCCATCGCTGTTGATGTGGGTCGAAGATGTACGCCCAGTAGTGACCTGCATTAGCCTGACCCTCGTGGACCAAAACAGCATGCAGCCGGTATGGCACCTGAAACGCATCATCATGAACAAGACAAACTCGTTTTGGGGTCATTTATGAAACAATCTGAAATATCAAAAAGCTTCTCACCTGCATCATGGACTTGTCAGAATACATAAGCTCGATGGTTCTGTGGATTCTAGATATACTGGCCTGCAGATCTGACACACACCAGACAGAAACATGTAAATGTACAAAGCCCGAAGCAACAGGAAACAGAAATCGGGCTGTATAAGTATAAGCATTTGTTTGCAAGCATGCGCGTTTGTACCCCTGGTGTCGTTCTCCACCTCGCTCCTCCAGCGGTGCAGACAGCCCTCCAGCACCCGCAGCTCCTCCTCTGTGATGTGCCGTGGGGCGGGGTGCATGGGTAGATCTGGCGGCACACGAGATTGAGTGAACGGTTTATGGATCGAAACTCTTTGCTGTTGTTGCTGTTGTTGTTGCTGCTGCTGGGCCTGAGGACCAGAGACGGAGCCCTCAGGTGGGACAGATGCATCCGGTTGCTCCCCTGTGCTGTAGTCCATGCACAAAACCGCTTTATTAATATCTCATAAATGTATTGCATTAGCAAAAAAACAAGAGCTATTCTAAATAAATTTTCAGTTTTGAGACAGGTGAAAAAAACTTGCCTTGCTGGAGGTGGCAGCAGTGCAGTCGTGGCACCAGGTGGTGCTGTTGTATCAATGTCCTCCACAGGTGATGTACACACAGGCTTGCTGGATGCAAACTCCATGGCGAACTGGAGAACATCGGCCAGAGGAAACCGCTTGGGCCCTGAGCCATAGCTCAGATACCTGTCACAGAGAGAATTTGAGGAAAAACGGATCACAAATGAGGGTTAGTTTTCTATGAACTGACAGCAGAAAAATATGAAACATTTAGTCGGTCTGTATTCTGTTACTCATGAAAAATACAGTCACAACTGATGCACAAGTCACAAGTCACAAAGCATGTGACTTTCATATTTTCATTAACAATCTGAAAGCTTCTTTCATGTGGAAAGCTGAGATTTTCCTGCTATGCAAGTTAACAGCAAGTTATTTCTAGATCAGGGCAGAGGCTAAATAGAGTTAACAAACCTCTCCAGTCGCTGCTGAAGAACGGTCAGGTGCTCCTTTAGTCTTCTGATCTCCTCTCGTTTTATCCGCGTGATGTCTCTGTTCCTGTCCATGTACCTGGAATCAATTGCAGACATAGGTATTTTGCATTGCATATACAGAATCCTTAGTATTTGATAAAGGAATCAAGAAACAACTTGAAACAAACCAAAACAAAAAATGTTCAAGTCCACTTTAAAGTACAGGTATGAGCAAAGATTTTTTACTCTGTTCACGGAAAATGAGTTGGAGCTCTTAATTCTGGATTCTCAAAGTGCACCAGACAAGGTTAGAAAACTACCAGAAAAATAAAATAAAATCAATGCAAGAAAGAATAGGCCAATCAAAATTCAGCATGCTAATTAATGGAAGAAAAAAAAAAACAATTACGCAAATATTACAATGACACCATTGATGTAGGTTGGATTACCACTGGGAAATGATTCAAGACAATGTGAGATTTTCCCACATCTTACAAAATATTAAAAAACAGACAAAAATAATTTAAAAAACATTTACATACATATAAAAAACTAAAAATATCTAGAAAGTATAAAGATTAAAAAAGAGATAGCACTAACCTGTCCATGTACAGCATGGAGGGAAACTCTAGCTTGTTGTGAATCTTCTCAGGTCGGCCTAAGGTTTGATTAAACTCAAACCTTGACAGTTCAAAGGTCAAAACCGGTGGGAGTTCTGTGAACCAGTGCTGGAAAAAAACACACCAAAAATTAGTATATAAGAACACTAAAGCTAAATGTCTTCTCTGCCCCCATATATGACATCAATGAAAGTGAGAAAATTACTTTAAAGTCTTTAAATGAATTTGATACAAATTTTCACACTCCATTTTCTCTGAATCTAGAATTTTCTTGCCATTTCTTAAAACTATTTACTTTCCATAAATCTGTGTTTAGTAGTATTTTAACTCCAGCATGCTCCAAGAAAAGCCCATCCATGTGACCCATCCCAGCTCCGCCTCCCATGCTGACAGCTGGAATGAACACCGGTGACCTGATCACATTCTGAGCCCTGAGAGAGACACAGTGTGCTGGGCTTTCATTAACATCCCAGCCCATTGGTGCCCAGAATAATGTACACCAGGGAATCTCCGGCAAAGGGATCTGCCTAGGGTGGCACTGATGACTGAAAAGCCATTATGTAACATCTCGGTCAGAGGTCACATGTTTTCTTTTTCTTCACCTCAAAGATTGATTGGACAGAAGCAAACAGAAGGGATATCTTTGAAAAAGGAACTGTTTTATATGTTTGAGCAGATTTTGGTGCCCTGGGATAGAAAAAAAAAGAAAAAGAGACAACCTCTGTATCTACAAACCTCTTGCCCTGATTTGGCGGAATTCTCGACAGAATGCAAAGACTCGATCTCGCCCTCTATCATGGCTGCCTCTAAACACTCGTGCAGATCTTTGAAGCCGTTCACCTGGAGAGGGTACTGCCCAAACATCTCAGTGTTCTCAAATTTCTTTCCTGTAAAAACACACAAACTCACATCATTGTCTTTAAATATGCTCCACAACGTGCTCTGCATAATGATAATCTTATGAGTGTAATCTCTTTATTTAGCGGCCACCATATAGATACTGTGAAAGTGTGTCATGCACAAGAAAAAAATACCCAAACAAACATGCCAATTTGTTTTGGTTTTGGCCAGAAATGCTTTATGCAGTACACAAACGTAAAAATGAAATAACTACATGCTCCCGTCATGCACACTTTACTTGAATTACACTACATTTGTTATTATTAGGGTATATTATTCAAAGCTGATTATTTTCAGCAGCAATTACTCCAGTCTTCATTGTCACATGATCCCTCAGAAATCATACAGATATGCTCATTTGGTGCTTAAAAAAACATTTCTTAATATGATCAGTGCTGCACTTGTGCAGATTAATATTTTTGTGGACACTGTGATTTTTTTTCCCATTTATTTAAAATAGAAATCTTTTGAAACATTACAAATGTCATTGCTTGATCCATTTAATGCATCTTTGCTGACTACAATTACAATTTTTTAAAGTCTTACTGACCCTACACTTACTGTATGAATGCCAATGTGCTTATTAGTACATGTACAAAAATAGTACATTTTTGTGAGGTTTTACTAGATTTACAGGAATATTTTGATACATTTAATACTCAAAAATGAACAAGACAAGTGCACATGCAGGAAATCTTAAGATTCTAACATCTTGACAAGGTAAAATGTTCACCGACTAAACTGTCTGTATGTAACCAGCTATGATCAGTGCTGTCATGTACAATAAGCCCAACGCCACTCACACATCAACAACCATTACTTCATTTTAGAACTTGGGTTCTCCACATCACATTAGCGCAAGGTCACTTTTCATTAACTAGGAGAGAAGACTCATCCGATGAATACTCACCTTCCAGGACGCCCACAGCCAGGAAACGTCCATAAAACAGGTCAACCATCGGGTTCTTCGGCTTCTCTCCCTCTCTGTGTAGAACAAGAGCAAACATGGAGTCACATGGTGCTGGAAATGTTCTGAACTAGAGGAGTCGGTGTCCTTTGGCTGTAGGAGTCACATGAGGACTGTCTTCAGTGGGTATTTAACGGTGCTAATTGAAGTCATACAGGTTAATGTACCACATTAATCATCATTAATGTCTGTTCCAGCTGAATTTGTGGTGTGGTCATACATCATTCTGACTGATATGACAGAGGAACACAGAGATACAGTGGAAAGCTTGTGAAAGCATCATCAGATATTCTGGTGGGATGTATATGGTCTTACCTGTCCTCCTCTGCCTTTATCTGAAACGCGTCTTCTAGCCAGTCCAAGAGTTTATGGGTGAACTCACTCACATCCTGCTGTACAAACAAACGCACCAATTCAAATCCTGAACGAATGTATTCTTGTTTTAACTGGACTCAATTGGTCCTAGAAAATAACAATTTTGCCCTTGTCTGTGCTCTCACTAAGTGCAAATGTGGCACTAAAATGTGTCCAAAATAAAAGCGGTCACATGTACCAAATTAATCAAAAGGTCGGGCTTATCTATGATGCTAAGAGTGTATAAAACTGATTGACCCTTGGCACAAATATTGAGAGCTCAATAAGTGCACCTATTTTTGCAGCATTTTTGTTTTTTCCTGAAGCCCACTTATGAGTCTACTTTTTATATTGCACCAGCATCATTTCATTTTACATCACAATTTTACTCATTCAGTGATCTTTGGAATGAAACTCTTTTTGTTACTACTGTAAGATCTCTAAGACTTTAAGGTGCACTGTACCTTTAAGACTACATACTGTATGTAAATGACAGAAACTTACCTGCTGAGATTCACTGGACTTAAAGGCATCCTTGAGGATCTCCACGGCCCTGGACGGGTCCACATACTTTCTCTTGGAACCCACCAACAAAGAAAAAAGGCACCTCAGCTCCTGCATGAAAGGCAGGTTCCTGTGCTCCTATGGGAACACAAATGGAGAACAAATTAAAACCTTAATAACACATGAAGTGTTCCTGCAGCTCAAACAGCAGAGCATAGCAACAGCAACATCAAGGTCATGGGTTTGATTCTCAAGGAGTACGTAACTGACATAAAATGTCAGCCAAATGCATAAAAATGTAAAATGTATCACTGGTTTTGGGGAGTTGTATGTTAACTTAACATTGACATAGGGTATGATGGCAAATAGTTGAGTGGAATTGGATGATTAGAGTTGATTAGTTAGGTCTGTCAGCTCTCAAGTAAGGATATCTATGCCTTACAACAATCTCAAAGTCATACAGGGGTCAGAAACCTACACCAGATCACATCATCCTGATTTTTTTCTTCAGAGGACACTTTTAATTGATTAGTTGCTTAAAGTCTATAAAATTAGAGCTTCTCCACCGACCCAGCAGATGAAAAGAACGAGCAATAAAGAGAGAGAAAAGGATGAATCCAGGGCTCTGTGGTCTTCTATCAGTGGATGAGGTTAAGCTCAGATTACCGGCCATGTCTGCTGACCCTGTTCACAGGCTCGGGGCCCCAGAGGAACATACTGAAGAAAGAAATCACACAGACAGCAGCTAGCCTGCTGAGCCGAACACAGAAGCTGATGTGACAGTTTAACAGCTAGAATACAGGGACCTTGAAAAAGCACTTCCTCTGCTTCAGCTCCTCTGGTCACAGGCCAGTCAGTTAGGTGAAAATCGGTGCTTGCAACAGTACGATAATGTCACAGCATGTAACTGAGGCTTTCCGACCAGGTCAAGCAAGGTCACAGTTGCTGGAGAGAAATGGAAGCTCTTATGGCATGTGAGCTGGCTATCGGGCGGCAATCTCACCTTCTGATTGCGCGGCAAGTCCTGCATCCGTGCAGGGGGGGGATAATGCAACACCAGCCTCTGGAACTCCAGCAGGTTAAAAAGAGACTGAAAAATATAGATAAAAAGATAAACATCAGTATTTGGGATCAGTGTGCAACAGCTCCAATGTCAACACAACTTTGTGATGATATGTTGGTTTGACAAAATAAAAAGACTGCATGTGCTTCCCGCAGACGCATTTTTTTCAGGCTTAGTTGAAGTGTCACTACAGTTTCATTGTGTGAATGACTGATGGATTGTTTTTGGTGACAGATTTACACATTTAGTGTCTCCTCATCCAGATCTATAAATCCACAGAGCTGTGAGCGCCACAGCGGCTGCGCTTCTTACATGAGCGGGGGCTTCTTCAGGCATCAGGTTACACACAGGAGGTAAACAGCATGTGACAGTACTCAACGATCATTACTCAGCTATCAACATGGTTCATGTTCTGACATCGTATAACAGACACAAACAATCAGGCCTTGGTAGGACTTGAAGTCACCTTCAAAGTTGTTTTAAAAAGCAGACATACAAACACAAAAATGAGTGCTATTAATGTGCTAAGATGCTTGTTAATAGTAAATAACTTACAATTATGCTAATAAGCAATACTATATACACCCATATACACACAGTTTAAACGTTTGAGGTCGTTAAGATTCTTTTGTTTTTTAGAAGTCTCTTTTATTAACTGAAGCTGCATTTATTTGATGCAAATTTTTTTTTAAATATAATAAGAGAATATATTATTACAATATTATTGTAACATTACAACTTAAATAACAGTTTTTTTAATTATAATACATTTAAAATTTTAATTTATTCCTGTGATGCAAAGCTGAATTTTTAGCTGACATTACTTTAGTTTTCGGTGTTGCACGATCCTTCAGAAATCATTCTAATATGCTGATTTGCTGCTTAAGAAACATTTCTTTCCTTCTGTTCTTTGATGAACAGAACGTTCAAGTTGAAATTGAAATTTTTTTGTAAATGTAAATGTCAAATGTCTTAATAGTCATTTTTCACACAAAAATTTATTACTGACCCCAAACATTTGAGTGTTGTTTATTATATAGTTTCTTGGCATATTTCATCTACCCCAGCGCTCTAAACATGATCCAGCACCATCTAGATGCACATATTTCATTTCATCCTCTCCTAATTAAATATACTGATGCAATTAACAGCACTAATACAGCAGTATCTCTGCATTAATAACTGCAATACAAAGCCACTCGACTTGATTCAGACTGAAACACATGTGGGACTACCATAATCAAATTGTCTGTAGTATTATGCAAGCAATAAGACACAATTAAAATTAATTCATTAAGCTGTCATTTGTTGTTTTTAAGTTAATTAAAGCTGCAGTCCATAAGTTTTGTCTCTTTGTCTCCATCTCTGTTTGAAAACCTGCAATTGCAGCTGTTTGTGGAATTATCTTCCTTGCGTGGGTTGTGAGTCGGCACGCCTCCAGTGCGGATGAATCTAATGTTTTGAGGAGTAGGTGTGGCAGTCAGTCACCGCACCGGTGTGGATGTTCACTGTACTTCGCAATCACAGATTCTAGCCTACATCTTGGAATATATGACCAAAATAAGAATTTTCACTGTATATTGTCATCTGAACAAGTAAGTAACAAGTCTGCCATGTTTGTTCTGACCAACTGAGGAAAAAAGCATTACAATAAATCGCGCTACCAATGGTGACTTAATCTAAATATCGGTTAGCTTATATCACATCAAACCATACAAATTATTATTATTGTTATACTTTATTCTCAAATGATTAATGTTAACAACATCAGCATTGCCTATAGTGTGTATTAGCGTGTAGATTTCAATTTCTGTACAGTCTAATCTCTAATTGTCATACCATTCGAATTTCATATTAAGAAATTCTTTTAACCCAAAAAGCAAATTATGCTCCCTTCGAACTGGTTTTCTTTAAAATACAAATCTTTGTAATCCCAGGCTATCTGTAATCAGAAGCACATTTAAAACTGGAATATAATTTAATCTCATTCACATGTGTTTCATAAAACACATACTTCCTTTCTGGATTAAAATCCGCCATCAAAATGATACATTTAATTATTCCAGCTGCTGTGAGAAAAGGTTATAAACGATCCTCCACCTGCAGGATCCTCACATGCGATAGCCTAGTAGCCGGGACAACTTCTTTATGTTTACAGACGTGACGTAATGATGCAGCGCCATGCTCGAATTTCCTGCGAAAACCTAGCCGTACCACTCAAATTCGAAAACAGTATTATAAGCTAACCGGTGAATCGGGCTAAAGTAAGGCGATAGTTTTGAACACTGGCTGTAAATACTGATTTCGGATCATTTTTAACCAAAAAAGGTTACGGACTGCAGCTTTAAATAAGCAAATGTGTTTCTAATTGTAAAGCAATCACAGCGGCTGACACTGACCTGTATAACTGCACTGAACCAGCACGTGTTCCCCACGTTCTTCAGCCCTACGGGACAGTTCTCCTGCCGCTTCCTGTCGTGAGGGTTGGGTGAATCGCTCCATACTTCTGTGTGCGTGCGCTTCAGGCTCGCCTTGTTCTCGGCGATGCTGGCCTCCAGGACTCTGAAGCACAAAGATACCAAACTTTACTCCTGTCTGGTTACTCCACATATAAAACCGTTATGAAATAACTCATGTGGCACACTTTTTTGTACTAAAATCTACAATAATACAAAATATTCAGCAGGCTAAAAGTTAAAAGCACAAGTAAAACCCCACCTGCTGATAGCCTGCTCTTCATCAGTGATGCCCGTCTCCCTGAAGGCCCTGTTTGACTCCTCCAGACTGAGAGCGATGGCCCTCTGAAGGTCATCTTTATCATCTCCAGTGAGATCTATTACATCTGAAACAACCACAGGAACATTGAACGTGAACAAAAATGGATTACTAGCAAATGGTGAGTGTGTGTTTTTATATTTATCTACTTATCTAATATGTATACAAATATATGATATTAAAATATACAAATATTTAAAATTCTAGTATATAATAAGATTTAATAATGATTAAACTTAACAACATTGAATTTAAAAATACATGCAAAAGCAACAACACCGTGATTTTTTCTGTTTATTACAGTGAAGTTGCTCTGAAACAATCTGTATTGTATAAAGGCCTACAAATAAATTTGATTTGACTAATAGTTTTCTCCACATATTAAATTGGGATATGACAAAATATGACATGCTTCACAGTTAAATGAACTTTTATTTTACATAGCATTTACACAAAATTCACTCAGAAATATATATTTTTTTTAATTGAGGCAGTCACTGGATTTTGAACACTTTTGTCGAGAACATCAAAATGGTTAAATATCACCCAATTAATCGGCTGGTCAAGAGGTTATAACACACTATCACAGCGATGGAGAAAATCCTGAATATGGTTTAAGCGCATGTCGAGAGCTCAAATAAAAACACGAGGCAGCATGCCAAACTAACATTCCCTCTGTCAGCATTTTCTCAGCAGTAGAACTAGAGATTGTTTCATCATCATTTGAAGCAAGCTGGGAGAAGTGGCAGGCTGGCTTTTTAAAGGTCTGGCTCTCGGAGATGATGTGCTTGTATTTATAAGAGAGCTGCCAGAACTCCCACTGTTATGGGTTACATGATGTCTCATTTCAGTATCTCTTTCCTTTCAGCAGGGCGTGTGGAATAAATATGAATTCTCTGGTTCGACCCAGCAGTGCTAATATACTCCTGCAGTTTTGAAGTTAATGAATCAATCCTAAAATCCCACTTATTAAGTTCAGGCACAGATTGAAATCTAAAGCAGAGAAATTATTTTTGCTGTCAGGAACAGAGCATTTACAGCTGGTTCTTCACTCAGCTTTCATTTGCGTCATGGCATTTGATCGCACTGTATCACAGAGCAGTGTAACCTTCCCCTGGATTCCGGCCAATCATTGTTCTGAGATTTAAATACGTACTTGTGTCAGCCTGGCTGCCCACACTGATGTATCTATCATTGGTGATTTGGGCCGTCTGGTAATAGGTGGCTTCATCTTGCTGCGGGACCTTGGTGTTCTTCTCAGTGAGAAAGGCCACCGCCTCAGCTAGGTCACCGTTACTGACCTGGACACAAATACAGATGTTCAAACACCTGTCATTACATGCAATATAAAACTACTAGTCTTTGAACAAATAATATCAAATTTGCATCTACCAAATCTGTTGCAAATAAAGCATACGAGCCATACTATACTAATTACTGAGTTTATGAAACCGATATTTCACCTGCAGTGCCTGCTGTAACAGCTGAACATCTGTAGTTCCAGTAACTTCCCTCAGCTGGTTCAGTAATGTCTGCTGGTGCTGTAAGAGAAACACATTTTTAAACAAACAGACAAAATCAAAACAAATTGAATCTTTGCTGTGACTGTACATCCTGTCTATACTCCTCCATATTGAAGTATATTTTATATATAATTTGTACATGCTTATTTTCTTTTTTTACATTCAGTTATCTAATGCTTGCTTTAATTTAATCATCAATAACACTAATTAGTGACTAGTTATTAATAAATTAGTAATAAATCGCTTAAGGAAAATATCCATTTTCACACTAAACAGTATAATGTTGTGATGCTTAAATGTCATTTTTATAGCTTTTTATTCATTTATTTAGCAGTCGTATCATGAAAGTATTAACGTTTAAAGTTTATGATCTTTGTGTTATCAAACCCTGGAAATAAATATGATATCCATGAGCACAACTGTTTATTCTCAAAACTACCCACTTCTAAAAGTCTGTATTGGTCATATTACATGTTTCTTCCTGTCTAAGTAGGTGTTTTTGGCAGAATATGTTGCCAAATGGATCAAACATTAAAAGTCCGGCTCTGCAAGACCAGGATCCAAAATGGTTGCTGTCACCAACACCACTCAGGAGCAAACAGAACAACATTTCAAACCTCTGGCTGGGAAACACAGAGTACTGGCCCTTTATCTCAGTCCTGGCTGCGATCAGGAACAGCATGAGTCAAACACAGACTGTGCCAGGCCAAAGAGGGAGGAACGGCACTCCTCCCTAGACCGAAATGCAGTATGACTGATCTGTTTCTACTCATCTAACCATTACTTTGGGCTCTACCGAATATTTTACAAACAATCTTCTGTTTGCCTCATGAGTCTGAGTTAGTGACATCATTACATAAACTAACAGCTGACGGCTAACGGATGCTGCACTGACCTTTTAATGCATTGCATGCTTTGCGTTCAAGATATGACATGAAACGTGGTAAGTGCGGAGCATGCACGTCCCAAGGTGGCACACCCCTCCCTGAGATGGGCCATGTAACACGTATTTCACAACAGTAACATGATAAAGCAACACAAGCTGGTAGCCAAATCAGGGTTGCTGAAACTTACAGCCTGTTCACTTTCAGTTTATGCGAAATACATAGTTTTATATTCCCCACCACCTGCTGTAACTCATTCAGTTTCATGAAGATCACTTCTTCAGTTACTGCATAATACTCTGATAAATTATCTGCCTACTTAAGTAAATAGATCATTATACTATTAAAAGCCAAAACAACCCCTCAGTGAGCACTTAAGATGTATTATGTTAAACAACTACTACAAAAAAAACAGACGTGTTTACAAACAGATTTGACTTAAATCTACAAAAACACTAATACATAACACAAACTAACAAGAACAGTCTATTTTTTAAATAAACAAATGAACTAATACAACAAAAATGAGATACATCAAGAGCCTATTTACAAACATATATTTAAATGTAATCTTTAGGGATTTAATTTAAATCGAAGAACAAGAAAGCCCTAATGCTTACAAACAAATGAAATAACCACACAAATCAGTAAGAAGAATGTTTATGAACTGATTATATGAATTACACATCTACTCAAGTCTGTTTACAATCAGACGAAATTGAAATCAACATACCACAAACCAACAAGACAAGATGTAAAGTTTAAAAACAGATTCAATAAACAGACAACAACACAATAATATATGGCTCAAGTCAACAAGAAACGCCCAATGTTTACAAACAAAAGGGCAAAAGTATGAATATGTTTTAAGAAGCAGCAGTGTGGGTGTCAGAACATAAACAAAGCCGCTATACCAAACACAAACTCAACATGAGGTATTTTAACACTTCTGAACACTGAAACAGAGACCCTGCGGGGTATTTAGTGAGATTTAAGATAGTTTTGATGGGGAAGTTTAGTAGCTTTAGCTCTGTTAGCACAGACGCGCCTGGTTATCGTTTAGTTTAGCGGGCTTGTGCTGTTTTATGTATAGTTGTTTATTGTTTTAAACTGTTTAAGTGATTTAAAACTCATACGTGTGTAAGTGTAAATAGTCCAGCAAATAAAAGCAAATACAGAAACGTGAAGCGCGGCTAATGTGTAGCTAACACTAGGCCTCAGCAATCAAACCGAACCACTGGAACTTTCAAGGCGCCCATAAACCTCCTTATGACACCAAACGAACAGAGCCGAGCCGAACCGAACCGGGTTTGTGTGTTAGGGCAGCGCGCGTTACCTTCTGAGAGTGCTGCTGCAGAGCACAGACGCGCCTGGTTATCGTTTAGTTTAGCGGGCTTGTGCTGTTTTATGTATAGTTGTTTATTGTTTTAAACTGTTTAAGTGATTTAAAACTCATACGTGTGTAAGTGTAAATAGTCCAGCAAATAAAAGCAAATACAGAAACGTGAAGCGCGGCTAATGTGTAGCTAACACTAGGCCTCAGCAATCAAACCGAACCACTGGAACTTTCAAGGCGCCCATAAACCTCCTTATGACACCAAACGAACAGAGCCGAGCCGAACCGAACCGGGTTTGTGTGTTAGGGCAGCGCGCGTTACCTTCTGAGAGTGCTGCTGCAGGACATTCTGCTCCACGGTCATGGCCGGTTCCGTTCCAGACGAAATGGACTCAGGTTCGCGGGTAAAAACGGAGCATACAGGAATTAGAGGAGTTTAATATGGAACAGTTTAAAAGAGAAAAACCCTGTACTCATCCCCGCTGCAACGGCTCCATGACGAAGTCGAACAGTACAAACACATCTGACATCCATTAGCTGGGTCCGAATCACACGCGCCCGCGCCTACGTCACAGCGATGGAGTAAACACACCCCTACACGCACACATTGAAACGAGTATAAACAAAACACTACACACATAAAGCAATACAAAAATCTAATCAATAAAGACGTAACTAAAAAACCCGATGTCATTTCCCAAAAGTAAAATACGTACACACGCAAATATATACTGTCACACTGTGTGGGGTAAGTTGTCACAACGGAAACCTTAAAATTATAGGTTGTTGTATAAAACGATTATGAAACTCAAAATAATTCACAAAACTGTAACAGTTAATATACAAAACAAACAAACAACAAACATTGCATTTGGCCAGCAAACATTAAGCTATAATAAATGGTCGTGAATTGTAATGCTTTTTAAACATTAACCACATGTGACAATTTGCCCCAGGTAAACACTGCTGCATAAAAACAGGCCAAAGTCAGCTGACCAAGAGTTCTGTAACATTCATGAAACGAAAGTGAAAGTTCTCACACAGGAGAAACTGTGTGTTTCTGTTTAGGGAAATTGTATGTATGGCCCTTCACAGACAGACTATTAAAGCAATTAATTAAATACGGTATGCAGTCGAATAGAACATCTAAAACTGATGCATATTGGTCCTTTAAATTAATATGAAATGTGTTAATGATAATTGTGTGTGATGTGTTTAAATAAAAAATTTTCAAATACTGTCGATCACAAAAAGAGAAAAGTGTAATACGTTATATACAATATATTCTATGTATTTTTATTTATTAGTATTTATGATTTTTAAAGTGCAAATATGGCCCTTCATATACTGAATTTTAAAGCAATTAATTAAATAAAGTGTGCACTCTGTTTGATGCGTCTTAATATTAATTCATATTGGTCATTTTATGAATATATAGCCATGCATTTATCAGTTTTTCTTGTGCAATCACAAAAATAGAAAGTGTAATATATAATTAAATAAAATATAGTCTAGATAGGTAGATAGATAGATAGAGAGATAGATAGATAGGACTCCGTGTCCTGCCAGCAGGTGGCGCTCATGTACATGTTTTCAGTCAATGTAACGTTGCATAAGCTTTGACCCAGCCAGACAGCAGAGTAAAGGCCAAGAGGACTCAAGAAGTCATTAATGAGAGGTTGGGATGTTTGTGCTTTTTAGACCTTGTTTGATGAATGCTATGCACTTATCTTTAAGAGCAAGAGAAGCACAAAGCACTGAATCTGTCACATAAATGAGAACAAGACCTAAACAGAAGTTTCTGCATCACCATGGTTTTACTCCAGGTGTTGTTTTACTAACACATTAACTGAATGTGTCTTTTTGTAGCCCTGTTCCTGAATTATTATTTTTTTTTTTTTTTAAGTTTTGGTCTCTCGTGATCCTTATAGTGTGGGATATTTCACTGCATGTGTGTATCTACAGTAATAATCTGAAGAATATCAAAACTTTTTCCTGTACTGTTACTAAGCACAGCTCTTTCTGGTTACATAAGATTTTTATTTACAGGTCAGAGGTCACTAAAATGTAATCATAATGCAATTATGTGAGTTATGTGAGTTCATGTTACAGCTGTAATCTGTAAAGTTAAATTAAAAATAACATTCATAGTAACTTGGCATGTTCCTCACAAAGAATTCACAGTGAAGAATTCATGTTTTTAATCTAACTAAATCAGATAAATCTGACCTCCACCTCTGTATCAACTCTCAGCTCTCTTAACAATTATATGAAGCCTAATTCAAGGATTTGCGGGTCAGTCTGGGGAATTTCCTCAACTTTGAAAGTGGAAATGAATCTTCGGCAATATTCTGTAGATATGCGTTGGTTACGGCAGTCACTCTCTGACCTTTGCACTCAGAATCAGTAGTTCTAATCTCAATCTGGCCTCAGTGAGATTGCTTGACACTAAAGCACCCTTTCACATTTAAAAGTGATTTGTAGAAATGTTTGCACTGAAAGTCCATGACTCATGAAGCTGAATTTGAACTGGTCATGAACATCTTTAAAGAAAAATAAAAGTTTCTTAAAAATCTGGAAAAAAAAAAAAAAAAAAATCACAAAAAGAGAAAAATGTAATATATAATGTCTAAAATATGTTATATTATTATATCTTTATATTGTATATTTTTATATATTTTAATTGTACTAATTGATAAAATTATACAAAGTGGGGATAATTATATGTTATATAATAATATATAATTTAAAAAATATTTTTCTTGTTACAATTTTATTTCTGTTTAAATATAGAAAAATAAAAGTTTTCTTCAACAGCTGCAGTCACAAGAGAAATATGTAATATATCAAATATATTCTATATATATCATTACTAATTAGTTTATTAAAGTTTTAATTGTTATAATTTGAATAAAAAACATAATATTTGTATTTGATTAATTTATGAATATTATACAAAGCAGGGTCAAAAAATACTGAGACCACTATACTGTATAATAATATATAATAATATTTTTCATAAAATAATATATAATAAATCATACTTTATTAGTTTGTTAAAGTTTTAATTATTATAATTTGAATATATAATAACACCTTAATATTTAATTTCCAATCTGCTCTCAGACTTACTAATTGTTCTATTTATTAAAGTAAATTGAAAAATCTTCCATGAAAAGATAAGACTGATAACGAAAACTTGTTTGACTGAGCTTGCATATTCAAGGTTTTCTCATATCATGAACAACGCCTTACATTATCAAAGGTCACAAGACCACATCTGTTCCAGCACTGAACTTGAAGTACCAGTCCATTTATCGTGCTATTAAGCCATGAAACGTTAACTCCAACATAAGTTAAGTGTGAATCAATTTTAAGCTCTTTTATGCTCTGTGGCACGAGGTCAACACACCACCAGTTGCCCGCGATCAACAACAGGGCTCAGTGAGCTCTTTTAATGAAAGGAGAAGTTCTTCTGCCAGCTGTCACATTTCTGGTGGCCTTTGAAGAGGGGGCTGCTGGGAAAAGGGAGGGAGGGAGGAAGGGGGTCACAGCTGCAGGGCAACTGCAGATCAACCACAGTGAGTGAGCTGAAGATGTCAGAGAGAGAGACAAAGGTCACAACCCCTGAGGCTCTGGCACAGACTTCAAGAAGCTCACCTTCACCAGCATCCAGCTCAGGGGAGCGGGTGAAACGATGGAAACATAGAATATCTCCTGATTAAAGAAAGAGGCCAGACCAAGACATGTGTTTGAGTGATTTTACCACAGTTAATGGCTGTTTGTGTTCATACAGAAGAATGCCTTCAGATGGGGGAAAAACTGCTATAATGCACAGCCTCTAGTGGCTTATTGCTCATATAAAAGAAAGTTGATTTCATTTACACAGGCTTTTCACAGTGTACCTTGTTTCAAGCAGCTTCTTGTTAAAAAAAAAAGAAAAAAAGATAGTTAGGGTTAAGAAGCCTTGAATTTCAAAGGTTTTTAGATTTATTGCTCATATAAAAGAAAGTTGATTTCATTTACACAGGCTTTTCACAGTGTACCTTGTTTCAAGCAGCTTCTTGTTAAAAAAAAAAGAAAAAAAAGATAGTTAGGGTTAAGAAGCCTTGAATTTCAAAGGTTTTTAGATGTTATAGACAAAGAAAATATATAGATGGATAGATAGAAGGCTATTGAACTACTAAACGATAGATAGATATTGAACAACTGAAAAAACGAACAAATTAGATGATATCTATCTATAGATAGATAGATAGATAGATAGAGAACAACTAAATGAACGAAAGAACGATACATAGATAGATAGATAGATATTGAACAACTAAATGAACGAACGAACGATACATAGATAGATAGAGAACAACTAAATGAACGAACGAACGATACAGATAGATATTGAACAACTAAATGAACGAACGAACAATACAGATAGATAGATAGATAGATAGATAAAGCTTTGTCTCTTAAGTGGCAAATTAACGTTACACAATTATTTCCTTGTCAAAGACCAATTTTGTCAGGAAGCCGTGAGAATCACTGCAGCAGATGTAATTAAGCACCTGTGAATGAGTGTTTTCTCCACCAGCAGCTGTGAATTGCGATGGATTCGGGTTAAACATTGACCCAGGAGGCCGTGCTGCGACGCAGGAAATACACACAGCGGCTCCAAACCTCCATCTCAACCTGCTGAACCTTGCTGACCCGAGTACTTTGTCTTCCTGGAAGACCAAACCATTTCCTTTGTGTAGTGGGCTGTAGTTAAATTGTAAGTAGATTCCTGGGCCGCCTCCAAACCCCCCATCCACCGGCACAGGATATCAGAGGATGTGAGACAGACAAACGGCCGCTTGGGCGCTTTAAACGCTGACCCCGGCTCAGACGTGTGACTTGTGCCTTTGCCCTCTCCTCTGTTTTGAAGCCAAAAGGAAACTGGGGGTTACTGGCAGTTCAAGCATGATAAGCATCTCTGGATGGAGAAGTTCACATGGAGGAAAGGTTATGTGAAGCTGAAGAAAAGAAACCTCATTAGAGGATTAAGGAAGGGGAAAGAAGGCAGACAAAAGCCTCTCCTTCAGAAAGAGCCTGGAAGTGGAAACATGCAGTGAAATGTAAAATCACTTTACAGCGGCCCCTAAATAAGTTTGACATTTTCATCACACTTAAAAATGGTAACAAAATATCAACACTCAAGTCATTTTTGCATGTATTATACAGTTCTATTGTTTTATATTGTGTAATTTAAAACCTAACAAATTAATACTGTGAAATATGTTTAATAGAATGCGTGCTTGTGTAATTTTTCTTTAAAATAAATGCCTCTAGGCTTGATATAGTGTTGATTTTTTTTTTTTTTTTTACAAATGCATGTATAGGACAATAGGCAAATGTAATAATCCTTATACATGCAATGCACCAATTTTGGCACGAAATGTTTATTCTGACGTTTGTTTTAAGTGGCTGAAAGGAAGTGCAAAATTGAGATCAATGCATTTCTCTCACAATGGTTGGACAAGGCACTTTACAAAATAGAAGCCAACTACCTGTTTTCCGATAATTATG